ATCCAGTGGTCCATCCAGTGGTCCATCCAGGAATTACAAAAAAGAAGAATTGACTAAACCACATTCTCATCAGAACAGTAAAATTCCTGTTGTAGCTAAAAAAGAATCCCATATAAACCAGAAACGAAAGTTGTCAGAAAAGGAACAGTCCAAGGATAACGAACAGGAGTTCCAAGATGAAAAACCAGTTCAAGGAAACCCACGTTACAAAAAAATAAGAGCGTGTGTGTCACCTGATAAGGGATTTCAATCAACATTCAACCCTAATGACTGTAAAGAGTCAGACAATTTGGAAGTACTAATGAAAAACGATAAGTTTAGTGTTGTCACCAATTTTGCTTCTAAAGGAATTGAGTAAGTGATGAATGCACTTTGTGTCATGGATTTACTGATAGTTTAAGGGTTTAAGTGGCTTATAATGTTTATTATTCTTATTGCGTTTTATTTAGTGTAAAGAATCATGTTAACTTCAATGAGGACATAAGTGATATCCCCAAACCTCCTCGGTGCCTTGCTAAGATTCAGACTGGGCACCAGTCGTTTGATCATCTAAAGGTGACTATTTGATTCTCACATTACACGATGAGGTTTACTATGAGCCGTACTTTAGCCTTACTGTAACAACACATTGTGATTGGATGAATTACTGGAAGACAAAGCAAAGCCATTTCAATGTTACAGCATGTCGTACCGTGTATGTGCTGTAAGTCAGTATGTTTCCCACTTATGCGATAACCTTTCTTATGAGAAGCCATTTTAATGTTACGATATGTTGTACTGTGTATGCAATCAATCAAAGTCAGTGTAATCAAATGCAATCATTGTAAGTCAGTACAGTATGTTTCACATGATGTCCATTTGTGGGATTGGATGATTCTGACTCATGATGTGTATTTCAGGGTATCAAGGCTTTGGGTAAGATAAACCTCCCACCAGAAAATGGCATAAAGCAGGTATTATGGCTGTTATCTACTAATATAAGTCATGCGCTAACCATTCAATAGAGGAATCACGTGTGCTTGTTGTGCAAGTAGTCAAACTATATTAAATCCTTAAAAGTCTGAGCCTATCCGTGTGTATAATGATGTTGTAATATACTGTTAACAGACTCTCCTTATGCACGCCTTGAATCCGGGAATGTCTGTTGAAGAAGTAGGAACAAGGATCCATAGAGCACTTAAAAAGGTAATACCTTCTCATGACGTAAAACAAATAGAGAACCTGATTCACATTTTGTCCATTTTTTGAAAATCATGCCACCCAGACCAGCTATCATATTTAGTAGGTTTTTGATTATTTTGGTCACATTATGAAGATAGATATCATAGTATCTTTATCTTTCCCATCAGAACTCCACCTCATGGGTGTTACTTAACCTAGCCTCCATCTACTGGCGTATCATGGGTGATACCAATGAAGCTGTTCGCTGTCTTCGCCTGGCTCTCATCAACTCGCCTTCTAAAATACAAGTGAGACTTTGATATTGTCACTGATAGTGTTGTAGAATAGTTCATAGTGCATCATGTGGTAATATATTGTCATCAATTAGAAAAAACGTGTGCTCTTGCTGTGAGCTCTCATAATGCATGCACCCCAACCAATCAGAACACGAGAATTATAACAGTTATGCAATACTTATGATGTTTTATAGGATGTTTCGCTGATTAACCTGGCAAGTATTTTGTTCAAAGCTGGTTTCTTTGAGGACGCAGCTACAATAAGCACTGCCGTGTTAAAGGTAACCCAACCACGTCATCTTGCATGTACCAAGGTTGATAGGCTGACCAGTTCAAATGTTTTACGGTCTTCGTAGACTATCCATTTAACTAGGGTTAGAAGATTATTTGCGTAGTTGATAAACGGCTTGGCAACATCCATCACTACAGATGGAAAGTAGAATAAAATATTCGTAAATCCCATTCATTCGTTTCTCTTTTTTATAGATATCTCCAAATGCAATGATTGCGCATTTTACATTGGCTAATAGTCTTGCTGGTATGGTAAGWGTCTAACCTATCATCTATGTACTGTTTAATAAACGAGCAGGAGTGTTTTATCGGGTATAAAACACGAGGCGCAGCCGAGTGGTTTTAGACCCGATGAAACACGATCTGCGAGATTATTGAACGGCTTAGAAAACTTATGATGTTTGTTCTCATTGTGTACCGATTTTTTTA